CTGAGGGATCAGCGTGCTCCCCACAGAGTAGATCTGAAGTCTTCATTACCTTCCTGAATCACCAAATCTTTGCCAAGTTGTAGAGAAGGGGGGAAAGCCAGCATGCTTGCTGTGATTTGACACAGGGAATGGTTATGTTGGTGACTTTTAGAGACCCTGTAGGGGTCTTAAGGCAAGAGACTTAGGTGGTTTGCCATTGCCTGATTCCGTATCACAACCGTGGACTTCCTTGGCGGTCTCCCATCCAAGTGCTAACCAGAGCTGGCCCTGCTTAGCTTCCAAGATCTGATGAGGTTGGGCTAGCCTGGGCCATCTAGGTCAGGACTAACCATCATATTCAAGGGCTTTAAAACTAGTCGCAAGATCATCAGAGCGGTCTAGGAGCCAGAGTGTCATTTCCAATTACGTATTTTGCTTGTAAAGAATCTTTGCCAACTCCAGGTAAAGGATCTCAGCTAGTATGACATGGACGGACTTCTGAAGGCCTGGAAAATGACCTCCGGTCAAGAAACACAAGGCTAGGCTAAAAGGATTTCTCTCCCCGTTCTAGATGATGGGACAGTGGGAACCTTCTCCTGACGGTCAATGACACCAAGAGAAACTGCAGCGTCTAAGCCAGCAAAGTAGATGGTTCATACATTGCTTCCTGTGTATATCTTTGAGTCACCTAAGTCCATATTTAACTCCAGAGGATCTCCGGATCCTGCTCTTTTACCATTAGCAGATTGCAAATGATTTCTGCTTCCATGCTGGAGGAACGAGCCACCGAACAATCAGCAACTGAGGGTGGGTCGTGGGCAGTGTTCCATCTAAGCTGAGTTAGAGTGAGCCAGCTCACAGTTTTTTAGCCTCGGGCTCAAACGTTTTTGTCTTCGCTGGGGAAGGATGGCTCCAAAGCAAACTGATTGATGCAGCAGCCAAATCGCTCACTCACAACTTTTAATGCCAGTCGCTCACAAAGTAGAATTTTTGCTCAGAAGACTCCACAGCTTAGAGGGAGCGCTGGGTAGCCTTTTCAGTGCTGCATAGTATGCAACTTTCATCAGTAGCCCTGGGGGATGCTGAGGAACCCCTGGAAGAAACATGAAGGTAAGATCTGATTTTACAATTTGGGATTCGGATTATGGGGAGTCGCTTGCAATCTGCTGCATTACTGGACACAAGCAGGGTAAGTACTATCCCTGAAGCGAGCGAAGAAGAGTTCTACCTTGACATTTTACTCTATGGGAACTTGCATTGAACTCAAGGGAGAAAGTTTGGTAAGCGTGGGTCATTTCCCCCCACGTCTCTGACTTTGGAAAGGTGCAAAACAAAATCATAACTCCTTTTTTATTTTCCCCTTTAACTTTCCTTGCTACTGTCACTAGCATGACTCTCACACGGGTCCAAACAATACAAACTGAGAGGGGAATGGGATCAAACATCTTAGACTTTGCCAAACATATTCCATCTGATGTTGGCATAGAATCTAGGCATGTACAAAGTGTAAGCACTTAGACTCCATCCCCTTTATTAAAAAGCCTGGAAAAGCAGCATTCTTAGCTGTGGGAATGGACTGGGTCCAGAGCAAAATTTCTGCGTGAGCTAGAGCACTTTCCTTTCATCTGATTAAAGTTCCTTGACTAAAAGCCTTGAGCGGTCAAAAACACTTCTGTTAAGTAGCAGTATCTGGACGCAATACTAGACCAATGGAAAAATCTCGCAACAGCAAGGGTGAGATTAGGGAATCTGTCAGATAAATTGAGTAAAACTAGCTTGTGACGAGGCAAAGATGAAACATTATCTCAGTACTGTGTTAAAAACCTACTTCTAAGGCTAATATAAAGAGGACGCGCCAATAAAATATGTACTAAAGTACCAATTTTCCCCTGAGAACTTTCGCAAAAGCGGACTGAGTAAGGGATCTTTCTTAATCTTCCCTTCATAACTAGAGTGGCCTGTGCATTCATTCGAGAACTGTAGAGAAAAAGACTGTAGTAGCCGCTTGCACGGAGTCAAACATACTGTATCCCCATTTGTGCACAATCTTATATAACCAAATTCTGGAAAACACTAAGTGTAGCACAAGATGCTACACACATCTGTTTATTTTACCACTTGCACGTTGCTTGATCCAAGCCTGTGTGTGCAGAAGTGGCACCTGCATTTATTCAGTGCTAATATTAGCCTGCACGTACATCGGGTCAGGGTCAGAAGGTACAGTCCTTGTTCTGCTACATATGTTAGTTCTACATACTTAAATGCAGGGCTCTTTTTGTAGATAAAGCCCAGCAGGAACTCATTAGCATAATAGGCCACACCCAACAGCAGAAACTCATTAGCATATCAGGCCACACCCCTGATGGCACAGCTCATTGGCATATTAGGCCACACACCCATGTTACCAGAAGTGTGGTCATCCAGCCACACCCACCTTTTGCTTCTTATTCTGTTTGCTTTGTTGTCAAAACCCAGGGCTTTTTTTGTAGCAGGAACGTATTTGCATGTTAGGCCACATACCCCTAATGTAGCCAATCCTGATGAGTTTCTGCTGTTGGGTGTGGCCTCTTATGCTAATGAGTTCCGGCTGGGCATGGCCAACTCAGGAGCCAGCCGGAACTCCGTTCCTGTGAGTTCGTGCCCCAAAATAGCCCTGCTTAGATGTGTGAGGGAGGCTTGTATCTACGAACAGGTCTCTAAGGTAGTCTCATATTCTCACAAAAGAAAGACAGCCAGTTAGGAGTACAGACTCAAATCTGGGAGAATCGGGTTTGATTCCCCACTCCTCCATGCGCAGCTGCTGGTGTGACCTTGGGAGCTGTCAGAGCTGTTCTCTCAAAAGCAGTTCTCAAAAGAACTCTCTCAGCCCCACCTACTTCACAGGGTGTCTGTTGTCAGGAGGTTTTCTTAAGAAATGGGGAAACAAAAAACACTCATGGTTTTCTCAACAGATGGGGAAATTACTGCCATCATATTTTCTGTTTTATTTAGTGAATAATTTTAATTTCACAAATCTTTTGTTACAACTGAAAGCACTATTTTGATTTTAGTTCTCCATGGTGTGGCTCAAACTGATCCAGGGTAGTGCTTTGAGAGCCAGTTTGGAATAGTGGTTAGGAACACAGACTCTAATATGGGAGAACAGGGTTTGATTCCCCACTCCTCCACATGCTGGTGTGACCTTGGGTCAGGCACAAGTTCTCTCAGAGCTGTTCTCTCATGAACAGTTCTCAAAGAGTTCTCTCAGCCCCACCTACCTCACAGGGTGTCTGTTGTGGGGAGGTGAAGGGAAAGAAGAGTCAGGGCATGTTCGGTGGCAACTCCTACCTGGTGGAAGGAGCTCCCGGAGGAGATCCGGGCCCTGCGGGATCTTTCTCAGTTCTGCAGGGCCTGCAAGACGGAGCTCTTCCGCCAGGCTTTCGAGTAGGAGCCGCCACCACTACTACTCCATCATTGCCATCTATGCACCGTCGCACCATCACCACGACTATCTGGCCCATTTGGGGGTGCGAGGTTCCCCTGCAAGGAAAAGGATGATAGATTTCGGGAAAGCTACCATTGGGTTTCAGATCTACCCCATCTTGTGACAAATGGAGCACTGTGATTTTGTTACTGTATTTTACTGTTTTATATTATGTGCTTTTATTGTTTTCATCCTGGCACTTTGTGCCCCTGTTAGCCACCCTGAGCCTTCGGGGTAGGGCGGGATACAAATCTAAAGATAAATAAATAAGCCACTCTGAGACTCCTTTGGGTAGTGAAGGGCGGAGTATAAATCCAATCTCCTCTTCCTCCTCCTCCTGTCAGACAAAGGCCTGAGAGACCTGCGTTCACAACCCTCAGTTGCCATGGAACTTGTTGGGAGACCGAGAGTGCGTCACTTTATTTTAGCCTGACCTTCATCTACCTCACAGACCAGCTGTGACTCGGGCTCTTTTTGTAGCAGGAACTCCTTTGCATATTAGGCCACACACCCCTAATGTAGCCAATCCTCCCAGAGCTTACAGAGCTCTTCTACAGGGGCTACTGTAAGCTCTTGGAGGACTGGCTACATTAGGGGGTGTGTCACTTAATATGCAAATGAGTTCCTGCTACAAAAAGAGCCCTTGAGGATAAAGTAAGGACTGGAGAACAGGCTACTTACATCTGCGTAAGAAAAGGGGACTATGGTTTTCTTTAACAGAAGCTGCAAATAGAAGGAATGGGTCTAAAATACAAACACATGAAGCTGCCTGATGAACCCGTGGGTACCATCAAGACCAGTATTGCCTACTCAGACTGGCAGAGGCTTATCAGGGTTTCTAGTAGAGGTCTTTCACATGACCTGTTACCTGATCCCTTTAACTGGAAATGCCCGGGATTGAACCTGGGACCTTCTGCGTGCCAAGCAGCTGCTCTACCCCTGAGCCTCTCCCCTTAAATTCTGGGAGGCAGTTCAGCTTCAGACAATGTTTCAGAGAAACACCGGGAGCCCTCTGTTGTGCAATGCGCTTCATTGCAGTCAGGGACAAACAGCAGCATCTGTGTTTGGGGAGGATATACGCGAAAGAGGATTTCGGACTTTTAAAAACCCCAGTCCGGACACGGCATCTGCCCAAAGTCCCTTCATCTGCAGCTCTCCTAGTTCTCTGCTTTCTTCTGCAACTTGAGCTCTTTTGCATTCTCAGAAAAAAGTTGGAGCTGAGTACTTCTGAGTATAAGTGCAATCCCTTACTCCCGGGGGAGGGGGGGAATAACCTGTAACACCATGCCTGGGGCAGTGATGCTCTGTATTCATGGTGGTACTTGGGGAGGGGGCAACAGTGGGAGGGCTTCTGGAGTTCTGGCCCCGTTAGTGGACTTCCTGATGACACCTGGGTTTTGGCCACTGTGTGACCCAGAGTGTTGGACTGGATGGGCCATTGGCTCAATCCACCATGGCTTCTCTTAAGTTCTTCTGTAGAACAAAGCATAGCTTCTTCTTTTATGACTCTTTCTGAGGAAATGTTCCTCTCTCCTTGCTCTGCAGATAAGAGCCCAGGATGAGGGCTGAGAACTTCACCTCTGTCACCCAGTTCATCTTGGTGGGACTTTCCAACCACCGCAAGACTCAGATTCTGCTCTTCGTGGTCATCCTCCTCATCTACTTGCTGACCGTGGTGGGGAACCTGGTGATCATCATGCTGATCCAGGTGGACTCCCGCCTCCACACCCCCATGTACTTCTTCTTAACCCACCTGTCCAGCCTGGAAATCTGCTATGTCACCAGTACAGTGCCTCAGATGCTGTCTCACCTACTGGCTGGCAATGGAGCCATCTCCTTCAGCCGTTGTGCCGCACAAATGTACATTGCTTTATCCCTCGGTAGCACTGAGGGCCTTCTGCTGGGCACCATGGCCTACGACCGTTACTTGGCTATCTGCCACCCCTTACTCTACGTCATTGCCATGGGCAGGTGGCGCCAGTTGCAGCTGGCCTTAGCCTCTTGGGCAGGCGGCTTCCTCCTCTCCGTGATGAATGTGGGTTGTACCCTTCGCCTCCCTTTCTGCGGCCCCAACCACATCAACCATTTCTTCTGTGAGCTGCCAGTCGTTCTGAAACTCGCGTGTGCCGACACTCACGTCACAGAGGCTGTTATATTTGGGGCAGCCGTGCTGATCCTCCTGGTTCCCCTCTCGGTTATCCTGACCTCCTACGGCCTCATCCTGTCCTCTGTTTTGCAAATGCAGTCGGCTTCCGGACGTCACAAGGCCTTCTCCACTTGTGCCTCTCACTTGGCGGTGGTCACCTTATTCTATGGCACTGTCATCTCCATGTACATGAGGCCTCGGTCAGGCACAGCCACTGACCTTGACAAGAGAATTGCCATCTTTTATATTGTGGTCACTCCTTTGCTCAACCCCATCATTTACACCCTGCGGAACAAGGATGTCCACGATGCCGTCGCCAAAGTGATCCAAAGATGGGGCTTGGAACCAAAGTTAAAGCATTAAAATCTTGCCTGACTGGTCGCCAGGCTCTCACAGGCTGTTAATAAACACTTTAGTACTGAAGTAAGATAGCTCAGCCAAAATAGCTCGGGGGTGCAAAAAACGTGGAACATCTTTTCCTGAAGACAAAGCAAGTGATATATTCTCCAGTCAGAATGACAGCTTATTACCGCCGCAGCCAATAGAGCAAGGCAAGGGGACAGTTTACTGCTCACTGTGTTCCAAATTTCTAGAATCTCTCATAAACGTTCAATGATAAAATTATTCTGAGCATAGTAATTGCCTTGTCAGATTTTCTTTTTACCCACAACGCAGGGCTCTTTGTGTAGCAGGAACTCCTTTGCATATTAGGCGACACCCCCCCCCAAAATAGCCAATCCTCCAAGAGCTTACAGTAGCCCCTGTAAGAAGAGTTCTGTAAGCTCTTGGAGAATTGGCTACATTAGGGGTGTGTCGCCTAATATGCAAAGGAGTTCCTGCTACAAAAAGAGCCCTGCCAGTGACATTTTAGCAAAAGGTATGAGCGCCATAGGCCTCAGCTTGACCTAGCACTCACCAAAACCCTAGCTCCAGAACTCAGTTTCCATGTTGTAAAGTAACACAAAGCAAGGAGGTCTCTGGCCATAAGTAGAATTCAAAAGCATTCCTTCACTGCTGGATAATTAACTACCTACACTTAGCCCAAATCAGATTAAGGGATTGTTGTTGTTGTTCAGTCGCACAGTCAAGTCCGACTCTTCGCGACCGCATGGACCAGATCCCGCCAGGCCCACCTGTCTTCCGCTGTCCTCTGAAGTTTGCTCAGTTGCATTGATGACACTGTCCAACCATCTCATCCTTTGCCGTCCCTTTGATTCAGAAAAGATTTTTCAATAGTCCCAATACCTGTCCTTTCAGGAGGTAATGTTTGCCAGAAGTTCTGGTAACAAAATATGCAGAGTTCCTTTAATTGACCACTAATGGTGCAGTCCTATGTGTGTTTAATCAGGCAGAAGAAAATCCTTCTGTTCCACAAGACTCTCCAGGATTTCCCGCTTACCAAAAGAAAATGGCTGCCCCTTGCAGGTTTTGAGGGGGAGGGATAAAATGGGCATGTGCAGAAATACCCCCCCCCTTTTGTGGGGAAAAGAAAGGGACAAGTAGACATAGTAGGAATCCCGGCAGGCCTTGAGTGTAGTGGTTAGAGTATTGAATTAGGACTGGGGAACTCCAGGTTCAAGTCCCAACTCAGCTAGCTGGCCATGAGGCTTACTGCATGACCTTGGGCCAGTCACCCTTAGGGTTGCCAGGTCTGGGTTGGAAAATACCTGGGGACTTTGGGGGTGGATCTGGGAGAGGGTGGGTTTTGTGGAGGGGAGGGGCTTCAGCATGGCGCAATGCCATAGACTCTACCCTTCAAAGCAGCCATTTTCTTCAGGGGAGCTGATCTCTGTCAGCTGGAGATCAGTTGTAAAAGCAGGAGATCTCCAGGCCCCAGCTGGAGACTGGCACCCCTAGCCACTCTTGTTCACCCTAACCTACCTCACGAGAGTTGTAGTGCAGATAAAATGGAAGAGGGGGACAACCACACATAACCTCCTCCCAAAGCTCCCTGGAAGAAAAGCATGACGTAAACGACACCAGAAATAAAAAGAGACAATATCAGCTTCTCTCTTGGGGGTAGTTCCGAAAGGAAGAAAACAAGTTATTGATTTTGCTCTTCGGGCCTCAACTCTGAGGGAATTATCTCCATTTACAATTATGTAAACCACTGTAATTTCCTCTCAGCGAAGGCTCCAGAAGGGGGGGGCGCAGGAAATGATCAAGAAGCACCTCCGAATGGGGTTATAAACCCAGCCAGCCAGCCAGGGGTGCCCAGAGATGGAGGCCAGAGTGAGAGACTGGCAGGGCTCTGTCTGGTCAAACATATTAGTGAAGATTTGAAATCTGGCCAGGTGCCCGCTTGCTAGAGTTTGAGGCTTTCCTCTTTAATTGTGTGGATCAAAAAAGGCCCACATGTTTCCCATTATGAAGTAGGCCGGCTGAAGCAGTGGCCATCCAAAGTAGTCCCCTGATAGGAGAGCAGGAGCGGTTGCACCTGGGGAGAAGATTTGCGGGTAGAATGGTGGGGGAGATGTTAATCCTACTTCTGTCCATTCTCATGTGGTGGGACATAAATGCTCTCCAGTGCTCTGCCATGGATCCTCTCCCTGTTCCACATGAATGGTACCAGCCAGGGGACTTCCTTATTGGTGGGATTCTTTCACAGATCCTTTATCCATTTTACATCATGCCTTTCCGAGAACAGCCTTCGCTGAGTTTATTTGAGGTGCCAGAGTAAGTCGGTCTCTTCACTTTTCCTCCTGAGAATTTCCTCCTGAGAATCGTTTATACCTGAGAGAGGATCCTCTGAAACAAAAATGTCTGTAAGCTTTGCTTCACCTTCACTTTTCCCAATCATTTTGTGAAGTGACAAAATGCAGACAGTGATTTACCAGGGCTGCTACTATAAAATAGGGGTAATTTATGTTAGACAAAGACAGCTGGATGGCCGTATTTGAAAGGTAGTTCCCCAGCATTCTCTGAATAGCTCAGTGGTCAGGATTTTGATGCATCGTCAAGAATTGTTTGGGCAGAATAAGATGTTTAGTAATTAAAAATAATGATATCAAATGAAAAGTGAGAAAGTAGAACCCTGAATGAGCCAGTTTGGTGTAGTGGTTAAGTGCACGAACTGTAATCTGGGAGAACTGGGTTTGATTCCCCACTCCTCCACTTGCAGCTGCTGGATGACCTTAAATAAGCCATAGTTCTGTCAGAGCTGTTCTCTCAAGGACAGTTCTGTCAAGAGCTCTCTCAGCCCCACCTACCTCACAGGGTGTCTGTTGTGGGGAAGGGAAGGGAAAGGAGTTTGTAAGCTGCTCTGAGACTCCGAGTGAAGGGCAGGGTATAAATCCAATCTCCTCCTCCTCCTCCTCCTCCTCCTCCTCCTCCTCTGAATGGACCATAATTATGAAAAAATCACTTGGTGCATGATAAAATTCTTCTGTTAAACAGCACTTAATACTATTTACAGAATGATAACCAAGTTCTACCAACATGTCCTGGCCTTGGCATTTGCAGTCAATGAGATCAATAAGAAACCCAAGATCTTGCCTAATGTCACTCTTGGTTTCCACATCTATGACAGCTATTATGATGAGAGGATGACCTATCGGACTACTCTGGACTTGCTCTTTAAAAGTCACTCATTTGTCCCCGGCTACAAATGTGATGTCCAGAGAAATGTGATAGCTGTTATTGGGGGGCTCGGTGGCGATGTCTCACACCGTATGGCAGACGTCTTAGGACTTTACAAGACTCCACAGGTAAGATGTGCATGTGGTGACCAATGTTCCCTCTAAGCTGTGGAGTCTTGTGAACAAAAATGCTACTTTGTGAGCTGCTGGCATTAAAGTTGTGAGCGGGCGATTTGGCTACTGCATAAATTAGTTTGCTCTGGAGCCCTCCTTCCTGAGCTAAGACAAAAATGTGTGAGCTGGAGGCTAAAAAACTGTGAGCCAGCTCACCCTAACTCAGCTTAGAGGGAACACTGGTGGTGACATGTGTCTGAGGGGCAGTGCAGATTCCAGAAGGGTAACTGTGTTAGTCTGCTGTAACCAAAAATACAAAAAAAGTGTCGTGGCTGCCTTTAAGGTGCCAGGTGACTCTTTGCCATTCAAGGCAGCGTAAATGTATTTAGGAAATGTCTGTCGTAAAAGCATTTCCCAGAAATTGTAGCAGATTCCCTTAATTTTAAGGGGGGGGGGAACTCACAGACCTGAATCACCAAAGCAGCCAGTGAGCTCTGCGAATATGAATTCCATAAACACACACACAATGCACTCTTCTCATATTAATACGTTCACTAAATCAGACAATTGACCCACAAGCCGAGTATTATCCACACAGCCTTGTATTATTAATCCATTCAAAAGAACATTTAAAAAAAAAAAAAACCCTTCCTTTATATGAACAGCATGGTTATTCCAAAACTTTCATCCCTGCCGGTTCAACTCCTGGAGTGAAATGTTGTATGAGACCTAATGTGGTATAGTGAGATTAGAACTGGGGAGACCTCGATTCAAGTCCCTACTGAACCACAGAGTTCTTTAGATGAACTTGGGCCACAGAATCATAGAACCTTTGGCACAAGTGCCATGGAATCAACCAGCTGCCTCTCAGCATCACCTTCTTTGGTGTTCGAGAAGGAAGAATAAAAGAAAACCATCCGGGGCATGAAAGATCAAAGCCAAATGGAGAGTGGACACGCAGACGCAGGAAACAGGAAGCGTGAAGTAGTGGAAGTTATTTTAGACACAGGGTCAGGTCAGACGGACATTTAGTGCGGGCTTCGCTGCTGATCCCTCGTGCTTTAAAGTTTCCTGTCCATATAGGCAAACCCGCCTCCCGCACCGAAGTGGGCTGAATCCCTCAGTTTCCACTCTTTTTATCCGTGTTTTCTGACACTCGTTGGAACAGGCGTTTTCCCGATATCTCGCGCTTTGTATCCGTGGTTTTGGTATCTGGACAGGAATCCGCTGTGACCACACTACCCTCCCCACCTCCCTTTTTTGTGTGTGTTTCCGGTTTAAGTTATGCACATGTGCAAACAGGCATTAGATTTTATTTTGGTCTTTTAAATTAGCTTGTATGTACGCCCAAGTGCATGGGAAGACAAGCGCATGCACAGGTTGTTGGTTTTTTAAAAAAAAATGCACCGCCGCGGGGACGGCACGCTGTGTAATCAGTGCTTCGCGCGAGTGAAGCGGAAGACAGAGGGACCGTCTGACCACCTCCAAGCGATATAAAATATCGCGGATAGAAGAACTGTGGGAAAACTAGCGCGGTAAGAGGTCCATGTGACCGCGGCCACAGTCTCACAGTTTGAGAATATTCAGAAAACAGAGTTCGGGACTTTTTGACGGTTGTCAAACTTGCAGATTCCTTCAGGAAACATTTATTCTATAAACACACACACACACACACTTCTCTTACCATCTTTCTCGTGTATCTTCACATTTCCTTCTAGCTCACATACGGCTCATTTGCCCCAGTGGAGAGGGACACAAAAGAGTTCCCTGTCTTTTACCGCATGATCCCAAATGAATCTCATCAGTATATGGCCATGATTCGTCTGCTCCTTCATTTTGGATGGACCTGGGTTGGACTGTTTGTCGTGGATGTTGCCTCCGGAGCTCATTTCCTAAAGGTTGTGGAGCCGTTGCTCTCCCAAAATGGAATCTGCTCATCCGTCACAGGAAGAATCCCCCAGCAAACAAACTGGAACAATGTGGGCGATGTTAATGTTTTCTTGGCAGACATCTACATCCCTTTTGAAGAGAACCGAACCCATACCTTTGTCCTCTATGGAGAAGCTTTGACCATTAATATAATGATGTTTTTGTTGTTGATGGGAGTCCCAGGATATAAAGAAAGAGAGTCATTGAGAAAGGTGTGGATTATGATGGGTGAGACTGATTTTGCATCAACGGGTTTTCTGAGATATGGAGACCTCCAATTCTTCCAAGGTGCAATTTCCTTTCAAACGCAGGCAAATGAATTTCTAGGATTCCAGGAATATCTTCAGGTTGTAAAACCTTATTGGGCACCAGGAGATGGTTTCCTCAAGGACTTCTGGGCACAAGCATTTGACTGTTCGTTTCCAAATCCTACAGAGCCAGTGAAAGCCAATGAAACATGCACTGGGGAGGAGAGGCTGGAGAGCCTTCCTATGGCTGTTTTTGAAATGCCCATGACTGGCCACAGTTATGGTATCAGTAATGCTGTCTATACCGTGGCACATGCTTTGCAGGCCATGCACTCCTCTAATCAGAGAACAGCAGTGGGACACAGAAGAGCTGAACTTCAAGATATCCAATCTTGGCAGGTATCGTCTTCACTGTATAATTGCATTGTGTCAATGAACAGATGAGTACATAGTGAGGCAGGTTCCAGCTTTCTTCTCCATGGCAAAATGGTATTGAATACATTATCCAATGGCAAATTTTTATATACAGGGGAGCGGTGGCACAGTGGGTATATCCCACTGTCTTAACATCCGAACTGTGTCAGTTCGAGCCCCGCGCTGGTGTGAGCAGCCAGCATGTTGTCCCCAGCTCATCGTCCACCCAGCGATTCGAAAGCTTCAGAGAGTAGATAAAATGGGAACCACTCCTTAGAGAGGGTGGGCACGCCAATCTCCCTTGTGGGAGGGTGTTAGCTGACGGTCGGACGTCCTGGTAGAGGCTTGGAAGGCGAAATAGCTTCTCTGCTACGAAAGAATCCCTGCAATGGCTGTTCCAGCCAGGCGGTGGCAGTGTGGCGATTGACATACAGGTCCTGAAGCCTGGCCAGCAAGCAGCCATGCGGAAAATGGCGGAGCCAAGCCAGAAGACGTCTATACCGGGCAGTGACAGCACATGCAATTAAAAATGAATATATGTTGTCTTCCCTATCCCCTACAAACATTGTTAGTCCCTTGTCTTTATTGAATAACTGTACATCGCTTTGAGCTCACTGGGGAAAGCAATTAATAAATGGAAAAAGTATTATTATATATATCTTTATTGCATTAGCAAAAAAGTCATAGCAACAGAACAGGATAAATGGCCAATTTTAGTAGCTGCATATTTCTTCTTAGACTTGGAACCTGGATAATGTTGAGTTGCGGTCATCTATGAATGCTAAATAGTTGCAACTTAGATCTGAATGCTAAATAGTTGCAACTTAGATCTGAATGAAACAACAGAAAAGTTTGTTTGCTGCCACATACGTTCAGATATCTTAGTACCAGTTCCCAATATCTTGTTACTGCTTTCTTCCCCATCTCCCTCTTTCAAGCTACATCTGTCTCTTCAAGGAATTTCATTTAACAACTCAGCTGGAGAACGTGTGTCTTTGAACGATAATGGAGAAATAGAAACTGGATATGATATAACAAACATGGTCATATTCCCGAACATGTCTTCCCTTAGAATGAAAGTTGGAAGGGTGGATTCCATAGGAAACGAATTCATCATTGACGAAAATTTAATTGTGTGGCAAAGACATTTTAAACAGGTATGAATTCTAGGGTATTCTCATGGGACACCATATTCTGCGTAAGGATGGTTTGTGGGGCAGAAGGTTGTCTATTAGTGGTTCCCTCCAACTGCATAGATAAACAACGATGAGAAACAGAGCCTGTCTAGCGGTTGAGCCTACCTTCTGGAACCCTCTCACCACAGAGATTAGACAGAAAGCTTTAGTATTAACTTTTTCTACAACTTGTAGGGCCTTTCTTTAGATGCAGGGTTTTAATCTCTGAAGGGAGGAGGATTGTGTTTCCAGGGGCGCGATCCCACAGCAACATCTGGGAATCATGCTGCGCCCGTCCCCAGCCCGTCCCCAATTCGCCCCTACCGGCCAAAACCCGCGGCAAAAAAGAACCACCTACCTAGGTGGTTCTTTATGAAAGGCCGCATCACCGCTGGCCATGGGATCGCCGGCGCGTCTGTTCGCCGTTGCATCCCCGGCCCCCGGCCGTACTGCGCATGCTCGAGCATGCACAGTTCGGCAGCCTCCCCCTCCCATTCATCTCTTCCTCCCCGGCATCTGATCATGCCGGGGAGCAATGCCGCCGCGGCTCAGGGGATCGTGAAATCCCACCGCAGCGTCTCTTTTTTGGTGCAGCTTTTAAAAGCCGCACTTTGCCCAGTGTTTGCCCTGCCGTGTGGCAAGGGCCCAGGAGGAGTTTCTGGGCTGCTTTTGTGTTATTTTTCAAATGCTAATTTTATCACCGTTCCTTGGTTTGTAATGGTTCATTTTTTATTGGATCATGCCTTTTACAAATGATGGACCTCTGAGGAGTTACATGGGAGGGGATATCTCATTCCCACATGCCACATCTTGCTTTCTTCCTCTTCAGACTCCTGCTTCCCCTCACCAGCTCTTACTTCCTGTATTCTTCTCTTTCCCCTAGCTTCCGCTTCCTGCCTGACCCCCATTATCCCACCTTCCAGCAACCCCCTCTTGCAAGCTCTTTCTCTCCCCTTCTCCAGCAATTAACGTGGGGCGATTTCTCACTAGAGCTGCCTCGCGGTTTGCCTCGACACAAACATGTAAATTTCACACCTGAAGCTGCGGGGCTGCATTCTGACTCGCAGCTTCACCCGATTTCCTCCGCAGTTTCGTGATCCTGGTTTTTGAGGATCACGAAACTGCGGAGGAAATCGGGCGAAGCCGCGGGTCAAATGCAGCCCCGCAGCCTCGGGTGTGAAATTTACATGTTTGTGTCTAAGCAAATGGCGGCTGCGCTATGAGGCAGCTCTAGTGAGAAATCGCCCGTGGTGTGGGGGCCAGTTTGGGTTGCCAACCTTCAGGGAGATAAATAGTCAAAGAGAGATCCCAGGAAAGAGGCTAAATAACAAGGGGAAAAAACCTGTGAACAAATTACAAGGAATATATTATAAATATTCAACACTTATTAAAGATAGCAATATCAATAAGCTCTGTTCATACAACCGTTCCAAAGTCTAAGACATGTGCGTTCAGTCCACAATCATTTCCATTCCCATCCAAAGTGCCTGTCTCAAAAAAACGTTGTCAGTTTGCTGTTTTTAAAATACAGCAGATAAGCTTTTCAAAGAGTTCAGTGGGTTCATTTGGAGCCAGTTTGGTGTAGTGGTTAAGTGCGCGGATTCCCCAGTCCTCCACTTGCACCCGCATCTTGGGCAAGCCATAGTTCTGGCAAAGCTGTTCTTGAAAAAAGAGCCATTTCTGTCAGAGCTCTCTCAGCCCCACCAACCTCACAGGGTATCTGTTGTGGGGAGGGGAGGGGAAAGGAGTTTGTAAGCTGCTCTGAGACTCCTTTGGGTAGTGAAGGGCAGGGTACATATCCAATCTTTTCTTCTTCGGAATTCTGACAGTGGTGGCCGCAACCACAAAATGCCACCACCAGCTCTGAAGGGTGGTTGGATTTGTTAAGAGAAGAGGAGGGTGACAGGCGGAGGCACAGGATGAAATCTGATGGAGGGCCTCACTGCATGTTACTTTCCCCCTCAGGGTGTCCCCAGGTGAGGAAGAGAGGTGTGTTTTGAAGCCTTGCACATTCCAGCAATGCTCCCTCTAAACTGTGGAGTCTTGTGAGCAAAAATTCTACTTTGTGAGCTACTTTGAGAGCCAGTTTGGTGTCGTGGTTAAGTGCGCAGACTCTAATCTGGGAGAATCGGGTTTGATTCCCCATTCCTCCACTCGCACCTGCTGATGTGACCTTGGGTCAGTCACAAGCTCTGGCACAGCTGTCCCTGAAAAAGAGCCGTTTGTGTCAGAGTTCTCTCAGCCCCACCCACCTCACAGGGTGTCTGTTGTGGGGAGGGGAAGGGAAAGGAGTTTGTAAGCCACTTTGAGACTCCAAGTGAAGGGCGGGGTATAAATCCAATCTCCTCCTCCTCCTCCTCCTCCTTCTCTTCCTTCTTTGTTTTCAAAACATAGCAGATAAGCTTTTCAAACAGTTCAATTCCAAAGTGAATGCATGGAGACTGTAAAAAGGTCACTGCTTTCCCACCTCTGATGGAGCCTGTCAGCCTTTACACATCCGTTTCCAAAAAGCTTTTTCAAAGAGGGGATAGGACATTGTCCATACATGCAATACTGCCACTCCAGTATGAATAAGCACAATTTACAGGATATATTGTTGTTAATGTCCTATCCATCATGATCAGGAAAGTTCTAGAAGGTTGTTGCTGGTACAGGACTAGATGCAAAAAAGGTTCTGGTCCCCCGTCAAAACGTGCACAGGCACTTCTGCTGGCACACAACCTCTTGGATCAAAAGTACTGGTGCAGATGGAAGCTTTGCCTCAGACAAAAGCTCTTGTGTGACAAGGACAGAAGCTTTGAATTCAACCCATCACATTCTCCATCATTCCATTTCAGTTGTTCATTGCTGCATTCTTCCTAAACGATAATGTCTCCTAGGGCCCATCCTAAAATCTTTTCATGTTTTGGGATAGATGCCTCCCCTTTCTTTGTGTAATGACCACTGCCCTCCTGGTTACCTAAAGAAAAGGAAGGAAGGCGAGAAATTTTGTTGCTATGATTGTGATCTGTGCCCAGATGGGAAGATTTCAAACCAGACGGGTACGTGATGCCTTGCAAGAACTTCTCCTGCATGTGGTGCTAATTCTGATGATAATGTATCTTAACGAGAATGTACCATACCGTGTATGCAGTAAGTTGGTAAACCAGAGCTCTGTATCGTTCCTACAGAAAAGGTTAGGGCAATTTTTACACAGAATCAGAAATTTGGGGAAAGGGATCAACACAAGGCCCATGTTTCCAAGGCTCATGTTTCCATTCATCACACAGATTTCAGCTGTGGGTCACATGTGCTGAGAAACCAATTGTGCATATACCAGTATGATGGGACTGGAGCAATCAAGACTTCCCCAAGGAATTCTCCACATTGGTCAGCAACTTGTATTGCCATATTGACCCTAGATGTAAATCATTTTTAGCATCTCTGTATGCAGAGTTCTGTTTAAGCTAGAAGGCTACAATTATTTAAGGGGAGGTCATAGTTGCCTTTCCTGTATTTACTACTTACAGACATGAAAAGGCAGGTACGTATGCTTTATGATTGGGTAAAATAACAGTAATTAATTATCATATGGTATTGTGTGTAGAATAGCCAGGAGATCCAAAGATTGTCTGGCAGCTACAAGTTCGAGCTCTTCGCGTTCTGCACCACTAAGTGGCGAGCTAGACTTGTTTTTAGGGGCTGAGAGAGCTCTGAAAGAACTGTGACCAACTGAAGATCACTCAGCTGGCTCTATGTGGAGGAGTGGGGAATCGAACCCAGTTCTCCAGATTAGAATCTGCTGCTCTTAACCATTATGCCAAACTGGGTCGCGAGTAAAATAACAATTAAACACAATGGAAGTGGTAAATGTTTTAAGCACAATAAATAGATAGCAAGAAGACTTCAGAAAAATCATCCAGCAAGAGCAGAAAGAATATTTTTAAAGTATTTCCACATGTCTACATCTGGTGGTGAGGTCAGTCATTGCCAAGCCATCCTCACTGAAGACAAACATCATAACTGGCACTATATCACAGGTGTACTGGCACTCAGGTGGGCTGTTTTTCTCTCTTTTTCCAGACATGGGCAACTGTATCAAATGCCCAGAAGATCAGTATCCAAACAAGAACCAAGATGGCTGCATTCCCAAGATAATAAGCTTTCTGTCTTGTGAAGAACTTTTAGGAATCAGTTTAGCCTCAGTAGCCATTTTTTTTACCCTGATCACAGTCTTGGTACTAAGTATTTTCATTAAGTACAAAGATACCCCCATCGTCAAAGCCAACAATCGAGAGATCACCTACACGCTTCTTGTTTCCCTCCTGCTGTGCTTCGTCTGCTCTTTGCTCTTCCTTGGACAGCCAACAAAGCTGACCTGCTTATTCCGACAGTCGGCTTTCAGCATCATCTTCTCAGTGGCTGTTTCCTGCTTGTTGGCCAAAACCATCACTGTGGTGGTAGCTTTTATGGCCACCAAACCAGGGTCCATCATGAGGAAGTGGGTGGGGAAAAGACTGGCCAACTCCATTGTCTTTTCCTGCTCCCTCGTTCAAGCAGGCATCTGTGTGCTCTGGCTGGGAACCTCCCCTCCATTCCCCAATTTGGACACACAGTCTCTTAGAAGAGAAATAGTTGCAGAATGCAACGAAGGGTCTGCCACTATGTTCTATATTGTTCTTGGCTACATTGGACTCCTTTCCATCATAAGCCTGAGCATGGCTTTCCTAGCAAGGAAATTGCCAGACTGTTTTAATGAAACCAAGTTCATCACCTTCAGTATGTTGATGTTTTGCAGTGTTTGGTTGTCTTTTATTCCAACCTATCTGAGCACCAAAGGGAAGTACATGGTGGCTGTGGAGATCTTCTCCATCTTGGCTTCCAGTGCTGGTTTACTGACATGTATATTTTGTCCAAAGTGTTACATTATGATAGTTAAACCTCAGTTGAACAAAAGGGAGCAAATAATATGGAGATATGGTTAAAATATCTAACTGTGCTGATAGGTATGTGTCTTTGTGTGGGTTCGTATCACATGTATTTATCCCATGAAATGAAGAAAGTAGACCCAGTCTAGGGCTCATCTTGAGCTACCGTCAATATAGTACAATCTCTCTTTCAGAAATTTTGGGCATTCCTGTCAACTGCCAAACTGCTCATGTCTGTCCTATGGACTTACTTGCACTGCTATGTGTAAACTACAACCAAAACAAACAAGAACAACAACATCAGCTGTGGACTTTGCAGTTGAACTTGAGGGCTCAGAAGATAATTACAGTGATTATGAACATTAAAAATAGGTTGAATAAAATATTCAGTTTTAGAAGTTGTGAAATTCTAATGTAGCCTTTGTAAATAAAAATGCATGCATATTGAACTGTTGCTAAATGTACAAAACTAAAAGACGTTTATTTGCAGTAACAAAAATGGATCCATTCTCATGTACCTAACTATGGCATATCAAAATGAATTTCTTCATGCTATGGCTCATTGGAAAGGCACAGAAATGGGCTATAATTGTCTAATATGCTTTAGATGATTATCTGAATTAGGTAAAGTGTCATATGCAGTAAACTGTACAAAATGTGTGGGGGGAATGGACTTTTCCCTTGATCTATGCCATATCATGAAAACAGTAAATTATTATTAGTATTAGTTATTAGTTATTTGTAGGTAGTAGTAGTAGTAGTAGTAGTAGTAGTAGTAGTAGTAGTTATTTAGCTTTCTAATGGTGCTTTAAAATTTTAAATTGGTCTCTTGGTTCACAAGCTATACCTCCATTTATAAATGGTAGGAAAAACTGGCTTTGGCCACCTTGATGACATCATAAAAAGCACAAACTAACTATCAGAATGGGTTACCACATCCAAACATAATACATAAGCAGACACCTGGGGGGGGGGAGAGAGAAACAAAGAAGTTTTGCCACACTCCCTGATACTATGTCATTTTTTCCTGCTCTTGGCCCATTGACTATATTGCACAGTATTGCACAATGACGCCCTTGCATAATTGACTCTTGGGGTGCTATATAGGTTAGGCAGGGAGTGGGCATCCTCACCAAATCCTGCCTATCTCTGAAAAATCCTACCCCCATATCTACCAGGTCCCATCTGCACTGAAATAGCATATTAATCGAACACCCAGCACCACTTATAAACCCTACCCTCACTGCACTCACATATTCAGCATACTAGTAGCCACAGAAAAGCTGTACAGTAGTCCAGGGCTACAGTTGGCTGTGTGATCCCTCCCTAATAATCAGAAGATGTGCATCATGGGAGTAAATTAATAATGCAAAACTAATTGTTTAGTCCTATGCAAAGTGACACCCTTCCAAGTCCATTGAATTTAGGGGGATTCTGCATCTAGCATTCGCTCCATATTTTGTCAACTGGGATGAAAAGGTGCAGCTGAAAATCACATTCAAATTCCCTGGGGCAACGCCATACTGATTGCAAAGTCACCCCTGAACGGCCATAAATCTATGCAGAAAGTACCATAAAACCTGAGCCAGTTTGGTGTAGTGGTTAAGTGTGTGGGCTCTAATCTGGGAGAACCGGGTTTGATTCCCCACTCCCCCACTTGCACCTGCTGGATGACCTTGGGCAAGCCATACCTCTGGCACAGCTGTTCTTGAAAAAGAGCAGTTTCTGTCAGAGCTCTCTCAGCCCCAGTCTGTTGTGGGGAGGGGGGGAAAGGAGTTTGTAAACCTCTCTGAGACTCCCTTGTGTAGTGAAGGGCGGGGTATAAATCCAATCTCTTCTTCGTCTGATGATGATGATGATCAAAGAAAGTGAAAGTGACATGCTGTGAAGAGGGCACCATAAAATCCAATGATCAAAGGAAGTGAAAGTGGCATGCAGTGTAAAGGGTGCCATAAAATCTGATGGATTTTATCGGAGGAAGTGAAAGCAGCATGCAATGCAGAGGGGAATTTCTCTTCCAATGTGGGTTTTGTAAAACAGTGAAAGGGAAAGCCAATGCAGAATTGCCTTAATGGGTTTAGAAAGGTACAACTCTGTTTGGAATTGCACTGCAAAGGACTTTTCCCTCCAAATAGCTAATGATTGAGTTTACTCAACAGACCCAAGAGACTGAGCTAACAAACAACCATTAATCACCCCAAGCTATTAAGGGACTGGTGCAGTCCCAGGAGAGCAGATCTACAGTCGTTGTCATCTTCCTGAATCCTCAAATCTTTGAGAATCTCCAGGAAGGGAAAAAAGAAAAACCCCAAGCAGCTTGCTGCCATGCCTTCCAAAGCTGAGATTTCTTAGGCAGTGGGAAAAGCCAAATTGTGTTACTTGTTACATTCTAGGTATCTGCAAACTGGTTGGAGGTGCATTGGCCACAATGGTTTAAGAGACAGGGCTCCTGGGCAAAGAGCTAATGCTCTGCACATATGTATGAAGTTCCTCATATTTTCAGCTAAAGGATCTCTGGGAACCTGGCTTGGAAGGACATCTTACTTGAAACCTTGGAAATATGCTGCTAGACAAGATGATGCTAGGCTAAGTGGACCACTTCACAGCATAAAGTAGCTTCTATCCTAGAAGTAAAATAGCTGGTCAACAGCTGTCCTATTGACATTTATTTGTGTATGCCTTTCTCGTAGAAACAGAAACCCTGATAACTAATAGCAACAAACTAAGGAGAAAATGTGTCCAAGATTTTCTAAAGTAGCATGTGTCCATGGTCCATAACTCATTTCAGAGGAGCTTTTGACACTTCTGGCCATTTTTCCACCTAGGAAATTTCAGAGGCATTCCAACTGGAGTGGGGGGAAAGGCATGAAACTTTTAGGCTACTTAGGTGCTACTGCGGGCAATTTTCAGAGCCGGGGGAAAGAAATCACCAGACATCACCTCCCGTACGAGAAATGCTGTAAATTTTCTCCCTGGACGCTCTACTAGTCCCCTGACCTTCCAAAGAGTTCCCCATCATCTTGAATTAAATAGCTGGACCCAACTCGCTCAGCTGCTGTGCACCTTAACTGAACCTGGGCAGCATGCAAGCTTCCTTCTTCGTTGTAGAGGAACACCAGTGAGAAGAACCCAGGTAAGATTATATGTTACTGGGTGTCACGAACGCGGTACCAGGCCAGGCAAGAGCAAGGTAGTCCAAAAGCAGTCCAAAGTCCAAACTGGGCAAGCAGAAACACCGAGAGACCAAGTCCAAATCACCAACCGTTAGAGTAGTCGTTAAAGCCAGTGTTCCAAAGAAGTCAGAAGCCAGGGAGTCAGAGGTCCGAGGTACAGGTCAGGAGCATAGTCATACGAGCCGAGGTCAGGAGCCGAGAAGTCAAAACAAGGAGCTGGAACAGGAACACGGGTGGTGAGGTGCAAAGCTTCGTCCAGAACGACTAGTTGCTAGCACAACTAGTTGGCACGAGTGAGAGAGCTAAATAGCTCGTAAGGCTGTCGGCAATTAGCGCACCCTGATTGTGTCCCGGCTCCTGCTAGTACTCAGGGCTAAAAGAGCACCTACCATGCATGCACGCCTCCCAACGCTGGGATGCCATTTCCTGTCGGCATTGTCCCCACAAGTGGGATACCAGTGGAGGCGAGTCAGGGGGAGTTTTGATTCGGCGTGATTCTGCTTCAGCTGTTATTGGAGCAGCTTCTGTGGCTTCAGTCCTGTCAGGTGCGGGGTTTTCAGGAGCCGAGAGCTCATCCCCAGCAGTACTTTGGTCTTCTACTGGGGCCAAATGCTCATCCCCAGCAGTACTTAGATCTCCTGCTGGGGCCAAGTGCTCCTGTTCAGCAGCAGCCGTGACACTGGGCATTCAGATAATAGGCTATTGTTAACTGATGCAGATAGGCCTCTGTAATCAGGTAGCCGACATCCACAGGCATTTCAAATTTGGAATAGCTCTCGTACTGAAGTGGTTAGAGAGCTGGATTAGGCTCTAGCAGACCCCAGTTTGAATCCTGATTCTGCCATGGAAGTTTAGCTTCCATGAGAGTCAGCTTGGCATAGTGGTTAAGAGCAGCAGACTCTAATCTGGAGAACTGGGTTTGATTCCCCACTCCTTCCACATGAAGCCAGCTGGGTGACCTTGGGCCAGTCATGGTTCTCTGAGAGCGGTTCTCAAAAGAGCTATCTCAGCCCCACTTACCTAACGGGAGAGGGGAGGGGAGGGGAAAGGAGATTGTAAGCTAGTCTGAGACTCCTTCGGGTAGTGAAGGGCGGGGGATAAATGTAACTTCTCCCCTTCCTCTTCTTCCCCTCCTCCTCCTCCTCACTGGGTGACCTTGGCCAGTCACTCTCCTTCTCAGCCCAATGTGTGTCACAGAGTGATTGGTGTGAGGATAAAATGAAGGAGGGGAGACTGGGGCTATCAACTGCATTGGGCTCCCCTTTGAGGAGAAAAAGAAGAAGAAGAAGAGATTGGATTTATACCCCACCCTTCACTACCCAAAGGGGTCTCAGAGCGGCTTACAAACTCCTTCCCCTCCCCACAACAGACACCCTGTGAAGTAGGTGGGGCCAAGAGAGCTCTGACAGAAACTGCTCTTTTTCGAGGACAGCTCTTATCAGAACTACGGCTTGTCCAAGGTCATCCAGCCAGGTGCAAGTGGAGGAGTGGGGAATCAAACCCGGTTCTCCCAGATTAGAGTCCGCGCACTTAACCACTACACCAAAAGCAAAACATAACTATCTAAAAAGAAGAAGAAGAAGAAACTGCTTTATTAAGAAGCTCTTTGCATTGCCCCTCCTCTGAGAGGTCACCCCCCCAGGAGCCCATAGAAATGTACAAAAGAAATTCCAGAATGTATGCACGATCACTCACTATGGTCACACTCAGGGCTTTTTTTGTAGAAAAAGCCCAGCAGAAACTCATTAGCATATTAGGCCGCACCCCCATGTTACCAGAAGTGTGGTCATCCAACCACACCCACCTTTTGCTTGTTATTCTGTTTACCTTGTTTGTTGTCAAAACCCAGGGCCTTTTTTTGTAGCAGGAACTCCTTTGCATGTTAGGCCACACACCCCTAATGTAGCCAATCCTGATGAGTTTCTGCTGTTGGGTGTGGCCTATTATGCTAATGAGTTCCTGCTGGGTGTGGCCAACTTGGGAGCCAGCTGGAACTCCGTTCCTGTGCGTTCCTGCCCCAAAATAGCCCTAGTCACACTCCATGGTCAGGTACAGCATGGACTGTAAAATTGGCTAAGGTGTGAGCTCACTGTTCATCTGACATCAGTTCTTTCTGCATTTGCCTGCCACTCTGAATTTTCTCAGGGTTTGACTTGAGGCAGTTGAAGTCCACAGCAAAACAGCATCCAAATAACCCGGGTCAACAGAAGGCTGAAACCAGACTGACCACTGAAAGGAGGTGATGTGATGTAGAATGGGAGAGAAAACTGGATTAAAAAGAAGGCTGAATTCAACTTTAGTGCAGAATTGCTTGGAGGACACTGCGATGAACATGGATTAAAAAGAGACCGCAGAAAGGGTCATCTTCTCCAGGCAACAAACCATGTTTTGTGCTGACCATGTGGAAGCACTGTATCTGTATCCTCAAATGGTGGCATGTGCCTGTCTTAAAGGCAAGCCGTAGATATCTGGGGGGGACTCAAATGAACCCGTTCACCCTTAAGGCAAAGGAGTTCCTGCTTCTCACACCACTGGGGGCAGCCAAGAGAAGGGAAGAGATCCTGATTTCATAGTACAGGTGATCCTTTCTGCTTTCTTTTAAAGAAAGCATACTCCCTGAGAAATCACCTTTTCTGCTACAGAATTTCCACCCCGAATAATTCAGTTCAGCCCTAAAGAAATCCTTTTTTTTAAAGGGGGGAAGGATATGAAGAACAAACAAAGGATTCCTCTCACAGTAGGTAAGGGTAGGTAAGTTCAGATAAGGGAAACCTGGGCCCCTGCCACACGAGGGAAGAAGGGACGGCCAAAGTGCGGCTTTTAAAAAGCCGCACCTAAATAGGCACGCGGCGGCGGGATCATACAGATCCCCTGAGCCGCTGTGCATTTGCTCCCCGGCACGATCAGATGCCGGGGAGAAGGGGAGAAAGGCACGGGAGTCTGCTGAACTGCTTATGTCGGAGCATGCGCAGTTCGGCAAGGAGCCGGGGATGCGCCGGCGAAGGAACGCGCCGGCGATTCCACGGCCAGCGTTGCTGCGGCCCTTTGAAAAGAACCACCTCGGTAGGTGGTTCTTTTTTGGTGCGGATCATCGCTGGAAGGGCCGGATCGGGGACGGACACGGTACGCTTCCCAGATGTTGCGGTGGGATCGCGCCCGTTTGCTCTGCCCCCATTCCGTCCCTTTCCCGGCCCTAATCCTCTCGTGTGGACAGGGCCCTGGAAGAGCAAAAGTTCATGCCTACTTTGCCAGATTTGACTCTCAAAACTGTATACCCTGGGAATTGTGTTGATCTTTAAGGTGTTACTGGGCTTAATCTTTGCTTTTCTAAAGCAGACCGACATGGCCTGAAACTATCTTTGAGGAAACTTGGAGAATCAAAAGAAGAGCCAGTGCAGTGTGGTGGATAACATGTCAATCTAGCACCTGGGATATCAGAACTAAAATTTCCACACTGCTGTGAAACGCACAGGTTGACCCTGGGCCAGTCATGTTCTCAAAGGCTTTGTCTTTTGAAAGCTCATACCCCAAAAATCTTCTTCTTCTCTAAGGTGGTACTGGACTCAGATCTAGCTCTTTGCAGTGTTATTGCAAGGATAAAACAAGGAAGTAAAAGCCAAGACTGTTGCCTTCAAGAAGGAAGGATAAAGACAGAAAACATAGAATTGCAGAGTTGGAAGGGGCCATACAGGCCTCAATGTTCCCTCTAAGGCGTGGAGTCTTCTGAGCAAAAATCCTACTTGGTGAGCTGCTGGCATTGTGAGCAAGCGATTTGGCTGCTGCAGAAATCAGTTTGCTCTGGAGCCATCCTTCCTGAGCAAAGGCAAAAATGTGTGAGACGCAGGCTAAAAAACTGTGAGCTCGCTCACACCAACTCAGCTTAGAGGGAGCACTGCAGGCCATCTAGTCCCACACCCTGCTCAGTGCAGCATCAGCCTAGAGTATCCCTGGCAAGTGTTTGTCCAGATGTTCCTTTAGACTGCCAGTGAGGGGGAGCTCACCACCTCTCTAGGCAGCTGATTCCACTTTTGCACACCTCTTACTGTGAAAAAGTTTTCCCTGAGATCCAGCCGGTACCTTCCTGCCCTTAATTTAAACCCATTATTGCGAGTCCTCTCCTCTGCTGCCCACAGGAACAGCTCCCTGCCCTCCTCTAAGTGACAAGCCTTCAAATACTCACAGAGAACAATCATGTCCCCCCCTCGACCTCCTCTTCTCAACACTGATCATTTCCAAGTCCCTCAGCCTTTTCTCGTAGACTGTCATTGGGTGGAGACATGGCCGGCTCGTCCGCTAGGCGAGCTAGGTGCTCGCCTAGAGCGCGCCGGCTCTCAGGGGCGCCAAACTGCGCGCCGGCTCTCAGGGGCGCCAAACTGCGCCCCGCCGCCGCCCTAACCGGGGCCCGCTCCTCTCTTGCGCTCTCTCTCTGCCGTGACTCAAGGGAGGGAAGCAGGGCAGGGAGGGAGGAAGGAAGGCGGCGAGGAGGCAGAGGGCGCCAAGGTACTACAGCCCCGCCGGCTGCCGGCTGCCTGCCCCGCCCTGAGAAGGGGCTTCAAAAGAGGCTGCCAATTATGCCGGCCGAGGGAGAGAGAAATTGCGGAGGGGGCGGCGTTCGCGGCCTGTGGTGAGTGACGCTCCTCCCCTCCTCGTTTTCCCTCCGCTAGGGTCAGGGGTGCCTCAGCCGGCGAGGCGGAGCGCCCAGGGGCTCGCTGGGCAGCCTCTCCGCGCGGCGCGCCTTCTCCGTTCTCCTCTGCTGCTCGGGTCTCGTTCGAGGGAGGAAGGGAGGGAGGAAGGGGGGCGGTTATGTTCACGGCCCTCACGGGGGTGTCAAGTGGCTGCTCCTCGGCCAAAATGAAAGAGAACTTGTTGGCGCTTTACAGGCTGCCCCGCAAGGCTGGGCCGCCACTTCTCAGACAGGGAGGGGCACCTCGGGGAGGGCCAAGGTAAGCCGGACGGGAGGGAAGGAGGGAAGGAACTTTAACGCCGGTAGCTCACAAGGGAGCATTTTTGCCCACAACACTCCACAGCTCAGAGGGAGCGCTGGTTCCAAGTATCTGAAGAAGAGAGCAGTGACTCCCGAAAGCTCCCACCCGGCCACCAATGTTGTTAATCTTGAAGGTGCTCCTGGAATTGCCCGTTTCTCCAGCTACAGACAGACCGACTCATCTTGCTTAGAATTCTTTGGTCTCCCAAAGCAGCGCGAAGTTTCCTCTCCCCTTTACTTCCATCCACCCACGTCTGCTGCGATGCAGAAATCCCTCTCCCCCTTTCCACCCCCCCTTCTCTAGAAGACACTTGGTGGGGGTGGGGAAGGCCGGAGAGATAACCCATAGGATCAGGGGTTGAGACATTTCGTTCTTCCTGCGGGGCGCGCGAATTTCCAAGCTGACTGGAAAGGACAGACCCTCCCCTCCTCTCTCTGTCTGTCCCCCCCCCATTTGCAAAGACTGCAGCTTATGTGTGTGCTTTTCTGCAGCTCCGCTGGAAGCAGTCTTCCCTCTAAGCTGAGTGAGTGTGTGCTGGCTCACAGTTTTTTAGCCTCCAGCTCACACATTTTTGTCTCGGCTCAGGAAGGAATGGCTCCAGAGCAAGCTGATTTATGTGGCGGCGGAGGGGGGCAAGGACCCATAGGGATCCTTCTCTCCAGGCCCCGCCTGGAGGTTGGCAACCCCCATAATTGGTAGGCGTGTGGGCGGGGGGGCGCCAGAAGATAGCCCCGCCTAGGGCACAAAAACGCCTGGAGCCGGCCCTGGGTGGAGATTCTGAATTTGACAGATTTGTCCTGCATTTATGATAGCGATGGGGAGATCAAAGCGCAATATATATATTTTTAAAAGGTTGTCCTGTTCTCAGAGAAGGACACTTTCCCTTCCACTTTCATTCTCTCTCTGCAGGCAAGAATCCAAGAATGGTGACTCAGAACCTCACCTCCGTCAAGGAGTTCACCTTGCTGGGACTCTCCAGCCACCGCATGATGCAGGTTCTGCTCTTTGTGGTCATCCTTGTCATCTACTTGTTCACCCTCGTGGGTAACGGAGTGGTCATCGTTTTGGTGCGGGCCGACTCTCGCCTCCATACCCCCATGTATTTTTTCCTCACTCACCTGGCAGCCATGGAGATGTGTTACGTCACCAGCACGTTACCCCAGGCATTGTTGAACCTTCTGTCCGGGAACCGGACCATCTCCTTCATAGGCTGCGCCATACAGATGCACTTGATATTGACCCTGGGGGGCACCGAATGTGTCCTGCTGAGTGCCATGGCCTATGACCGCTACTTGGCCATCTGCCGCCCCTTACTATATGCAATCGCCATGGACAGGTGGCACCAGTTGCAGCTGGCTTCCTTCTGCTGGGGACTAGGCATCCTCCTCGCAACGGTAAACGTGAGCTGCACCTTTCGCCATCCTTTCTGTGGCCCCAGCCACATAAACCACTTTGTCTGTGAGTTGCCAGCTGTGCTGAAGCTTGCATGCGCTGAAACCCATATTACGGAAAAGGTTGTTTTGGGGACAGCTGCACTGATCCTCCTGGGTCCCTTGGCTGTTATTCTGACTTCATACGGGCTCATTCTGTTCTCAATATTAAAAATGAGGACAACGACAAGACGGCGTAAGGCCTTTTCCACATGTGCCTCCCACCTGATAGTGGTCACCGTGTTCTATGGTACTGTCATCACTATGTACATGCGGCCTGGGTTGGGCTCAGGTTCTGATTTTGACAAGAAAATTGCAGTCTTTTACATTGTGGTCACTCCCCTGCTCAACCCGATCATTTACACCCTGCGGAATAAAGATGTCCATGGTGCAGTGGTCAAGGTGCTTCGAAGGCTTTAAATGAAAAGGTTGACAGTTGGTGTGACGTCCTCCTTATTGGGGAGACGGTTTTTCCTTCAAAACACACTATGTTCACATAAACTTGGTAGATTACTGCTGCCACCAGGAATTAAAAATACCAAATTTCTCTATTATGGTAGAATGACCCTGTGTCTGGGAACTTCGGGGGGGGGGGGGGTCAACCGTGCTTGGGGGGGGTCAACAGTGGGAGGGGTTCTACTGTCCTGGCCCCACTGCTGGACCTCCTGATGGCACTGGTATTTCTGGCCACTGTGTGACACAGAGTGTTGGACTCGATGGGCCTTTGGCCTGATCCAAAATTGGCGTTGTACAGGATTAGCCCCCTCAGGCCAGTCCAGGGATGGGAGGGAACCCTGTACTTTTTCAGTACATTAAACAACAAACCACGAGATGGTCTATACCCTCTCTGGTTTCAGAACAATGCGCCACCAGAACCTCCTTTAACTAGTCCCTGCATTTTCTAAGGGAGAGATTCCAGCCCTTAGTTAGCATCTGGGATTTAACACAGTAGCAACCCTAGCTCAGAGATGCATGCTTTACTCTTACCAAGGTAGCATATGGGGTGAGCGTTAGACACTAGACTCAGACTTGGAATCCAAGTTACAACATCACAGACAAGTTAGAAATAAGCAGGACCTTTATTCAGTACAGAGCACAGCAACAGACTATAAAAGATTACAAAAATAACAAAGGCTAGGGCAATTTGCCTTAACTACACATTTAAGATACATAGTTACCAAGGTCAGGATAGCATCCAAGAGTTCAAGATTGTCCATGGTGATAATCCAGGTAGCACCAAGGGATTTTGAGTAGGAATCCCATCTCGTACAAGCCATGTGCTCCAAGTCACAAAGCAGGTCTTTGTTTCGCAAGGGACAGCATTTCAGGTGCAATAAAACAGACTCTGACAAGAGGAGGAAGGGAGAGAACTAAGAGAGACCCCACCCCCATAGGGATCGATCAATTATAGCCCAATTCCAGTCACAAATTAGCTGTGGCCATTAGTCAATTGCGAGTGGGCATGGGTGTGCCCAATTGTTGGTTGTCATAGCTGTGTGTGGGGATAGGCTAGAAGTTTAGAGCCCCGCCTGCAGTCAGGTGACCCAGCTTCCAGCTTCTCCATGGTGTACATGACATGCTCCATGAGCACCAGAGCCAGGAGCTATCAGGTCTGGCTCTTTCACTTAGAGGTGTTAAAGAATGTGTGGTTATATGGCATGGCTATTTAGGTAGTTCAGGCCATTTGGTCTGCCCTGGACCATTTGGCCTGCAACAGGAAACAGAGACACAGCATGTTATCAAAAGACATCACTGGAGAAGGCATGTGGATATAGAAAGCAGAAAGCAATTTCTCTATACAGGCGTCTCTTATGTTCTTATGATTGGACGTAATAGAGTTATAAACAACAATTGGAAAAAAATACAACCTATCTTGGAATTAAAAAAGAAAAGAAAAGAAATCATGAGAGGGAAATGTGGACTCTGGATTTAATTCTAAAAGAGCTTCAAACTGACAGACTGGTTCATCCCTATTCTCAGTGCCTTGATGGCCAGGTGGGCTATAAATGAAAGAAATAAATATGAAAATTCCTTTTCCTCTCTTCTTCTTCTTTGCCAACAGCTTACAAATGATTTGAAAAGCTGCAAAGTAAAAAAGAAACCCCCCCAAAAAATTATATAACTCTTTTCTAAGTGCTCTGAGTGCTTGAGACACCCAAGAGGTTAAAGGAGCAAACAGACAGCTAATGAACCAGAGGAAAAGTACCACAGGGATCAGACTAGTAACTGTGGAGTATATCCACAGTCTTTATTACGTTACTGAATCCTTGAATCTTGGACAGGTCACAGGGAAAGACACCACAATGCTGTCAGTCTTCTAATGCTGAGAGTAGTCAAACAGTTGAAGAAAATAGGTTGTGTGGACTCTTTATTTTAAGAGGCTTTAATTTATGGAAGTTTATTTAAGTTTATGGACATTATGGAAGTCTATCTATCAGAGATCCAGAAGTTGTGCTGCCAGTCCAGATATAGATAGAGTCGATGAACCATTTATCTCAAAGCAGCTCCCACACTGGCCTGAGCTTTGAAGGACCTCCTTGGAAAAGATGGATATCGCTGTGTTCTTCCTTCCTCTTTGGAATGGAGGCTCCGAGACTCAATCAACCCTACAGTGTATTCCCAACCAGTAATATGGCCCATAATTTATTCTAGAGGATCTTGTCATTTTTCCAGCTTGAAGTTTTCATAGTGGAAGAAGAAAACGACAGTCAACAGCTCTTTCAGAGCAGCATAGAAAAACCTCCATCGCTGAGTGAGAGAAAATGTCACCCATAATCAAGGACAATCCAGTCGTCTTTCACCTCATTTTTTAAACATCTGGCACCAGAAAGGAGACTAAAAACCACCCGGTTGTTGTATGCTTTAATGTTAGCCACCGGCAAGAAAAATGTGTCACCATTTGAGGAATGCCTGAGTCGAGAACTGAGGTAACGCTTATATGTTGCAGTATACAATGGGGAGGTGTGGAACTAATTTTGGTCACTGATGTGTCTATGGGTGTGGACATTCTCCATCCTGAAAAGGTATTGACTTCACTTAATACACTGCCTGAAGAGGGATTGGGCACTTTCCTCTCATCCCTTTCTGCCTCTCATCGCCCTTAATTTCTCTTAACTTGAGAGCCTAAATAAAAGACAAAAAGAAAAACCAGTGCTCTTTGAAAGTGTCCCAACACGATCAAACCAATCGCATATCAGTTTCTCCAGAACTAATGTCAGGGAAGGAGGGAAGATGGCACGGTGTATGGCCTAATCTTGTCAGATCTCAGGAGCTAAGCAGGGTCAGTACTTGGAAGGGAGACCACCAAGGAAGGCTCTGCAGAGGAAGGCAATGGCAGACCTTCTTCTCGCTTGCCCTGAAAGCCCTTGGCTGGGGTCTCCTTGAATTGACTGCAACTTGAAGACACTTTACACACACAAGGTCAAGGGAAACATTTTGGTGCTTCAGCCTCTTGCCTTGAGGACAGCATTAAAGATCCTAGATATTCCCCCTTGTTCTTGAAAAGAAGTGGCACACAGCACATAAGAAAACAAGAGGGCCAACAGAGGCCGAGGCCTTTGCCAATATTGCCTCCTAGCACTGGTACTGAGCATTTTTTCTGCCTCTGGATAATGGAGGTGCCCTGTAGCTACCATGGCTTGTAGTAGTTGACACTAGAAACTACTGAGGATTCCCAGGTTTTATTAAGATGGTTAACTTTGATAGGGTTGGATCTAGTCAGTTTTTTCACTCAAAAGAACTTCCCTCCTTACTACAGTTTTGGGTGGGTAGCTGTGTTGGCCTGCAGTAGAATGGCAAGGTTCCAGTCCGATAGCACCTTAGAAACCAACAAGATTTCCAGGGTATAAACTTTCGAGAAATACCATGGAAATCTTGTTGGGTCTTTAAGTTGCTATGGGACTTCAGTCTTGGCCACCTTGCTACAGCCCCTATCCTAAATGCTTTTCATCCATGTAGGCCTCCTGGTTCTCCTTTTCTGGTGAGCCAAAAGCCCCAGGGCTGCCCCCAGCTTATTTTGCACTCTAGGCAAGGATCCCTTCTGGCGCCCCCCGTGCCCCCCCCGGCTAGAGCCAATGGGGGGCTGTTGGCGGGGGGCGAGTGCAGTTTGGCGCCCCTTGTCAGGGCACCTGGAGAAGAGGCTGACCGACGGGGAGCTCACAAGCCGTCGCTCCCCGGCCCTACTGCTGCTGCTGCTCCTGCTGCAGCTGCCAGTCCCTGGCCGCGAGGAGGAGGAGGAGAAGCGCTCCGCTGGGAAGCCGAGAGGGCAGGCAGGGAGAAGTTAGCTGGCCAAAGAGGTGGCGGGCAGCGTCGGGGGTCATCCGGCTGTGGAAATGCAGGTCTTTAGGCGGGGGGGGGCGGGTGCAGTTTGGCACCCCTAAGGGCTGGTGTGCTCTAGGCGAACACCTAGTTCGCCTAGTGAGCGAGCCAGCCTTGAAAATCCCCCCTCCTCCCTTGTTCAGAAGAGGAAAATCTGGTTGGATCCAATCCATCATGACTGAAACCTGAGATTGTTTCTACTACAGCAGACCAGCACTACTATGTGTCTGGACTCAATGCCCTCATACTATGGGAAACTTGTGACATACATTCTGAAAGGCAACACTGAAGACTCTCTCGCTTTTGTTTTGACTGACCTCTTGATGTTGAGTTTGATGGGCTATTTGTGTTTACATTGTCCTCCCATCAGTGGTTCTCTGTGGGAGATTTTCAAATGTTCCTTCCTTACCTTTAAAGGATCTGTCAGTGTAGCAGTAGAAAACCAGAACTGGTCACTCAAATTTTGCTCCACCGTGATGTTAAATGTATGGGATGTTTTAATTTAGTCCCCTTTTGCACAACAGGCAAAACTATCCGGGACAGAGGCCTGTCTCCTTCCTTTTAGCGGACCAGTGCCCCCATATTACCTTCTCAAGAGCGAGGTATTTCTCGATTGTTAGGAGGATTAGGGGATATAATGTTAATGCTCTGGAGCGATGATTTGTATATTAAAACTGTGGTTCTTGTCGCGCTTTCAATCTATGCCAGTAAAGGTACTGAGCTGAACTGTTTACTTCCATGTGACAGAGAGCTACACATGTCTACATCGCTGATTCTTGCCCTTTCTCTGCAGACAGGAGCCCACAATGGGGGCTGAGAACCTCTCTTCTGTCACAGAATTCATTCTGGTAGGACTCACCAACCACCGCAAGACACAAATTTTTCTCTTCCTGGTCATCCTCCTCATCTATGCCCTCACCGTGGTGGGGAACCTCGTGATCATCATGCTGGTACAAGGCGACGCCTCCCTCCACACCCCCATGTACTTCTTCCTCTCAAATCTTTCCGTCCTGGAGATCCTCTATGTCACCTCCAGCCTGCCCCAGATGCTGGCTCATCTCTTTGCTGGAAACGGAGCCATCTCCTTCCCCCGGTGTGCTTTT